CTCACTTGGTAGCCCAGGCTGGCCTCGAACTCACAGAGATCCACCTGCCTCTGCCTCTCCCGAGTGCTGGGATTAAAGGCGTGTGCCACCACCGCCCGGCTTATTTGTTTTTCTTAAACATTGAGGGCTGAGAGCACAGCTCAGTAGTGGAGTTCTTGACCAGCAATATGTGATTCTAAGTTCAGTTCCCAGAACTGCAAAGAACACTGGGAGCCGGGGCCGTGACTCTGTTGGTAGAGTGCTTGTCTAGTATTTACGAAGCTCCTGGTTCAGTCCTTACTACCCCATAACTCATGTGGTGGCATATGCCTGTTCTCCCAGAACTTAGGAGACGGAGGCGTGAGGATCAAGGATCATCCTCAGCTGGAGTGTGAGCACAAGGCCACTCTCGCCCGCCCACAGAAGACCCTGTCTCAAGTGAAATGAAGCCAAACAACGGGCAGAAAAGGGAAGAGGAAGAAGTCGAATGGGCCAGCTTTAATGTGAAGCTTCAGCCAGTGTAGCACGATGAAGCCACAGAACACTTACAAAGAAGGAGAAGATGGCCCCTGGCCTCGTGGCAGAAAGGTAAGGCTAATGTCCTAGGTGCTGCTCACCTCAGCTTGCCATGGGGATCAGGCTAGAGCCAGGCTGGAGATTTCTGAGCAAAGACACTCGTGGAGAAAGAGGGAGAAATGCCACCAACCCCCGCTCCCTCGGCCAAGCCGCCCTTGACCTCACCCTCAGCTCAGCTTCCTGAAACAGCCCTTACCCGGCATAGCGGTTCTGTAGTTCCTATCCTTCTGCCTCGGAACCTTGTCGCAGCCTGAAATGCACTGTCTCCCTTTCTGATTTTAGTCACCGTCAAGGTTCTGTAGTTCCTATCCTTCTGCCTCGGAACCTTGTCGCAGCCTGAAATGCACTGTCTCCCTTTCTGATTTTAGTCACCGTCAAAGCCTGCCTGCACAGTGAAGTTTCCGGGCCCATCCCAAATGCGCTCCCTTCCCCTCTTGTTCCTGTGCCAATTCATTATTGGCTGCATTAATGCTCTGATTTGCCGATCACGCTTTTAAGTATCTAGTATTTCCCAAACACCAGGCATGAAGATTTATGACACATTCTGGACCCCTCAGGGAGTCCAGTTGTGATCCTCACAGGACCCACTGGTGAACAGTGGACCTGATAGCCGTGTTCCTCATGTCCTCTGCACGTTGTTTTCTTAAATCTGTGAAACCTGTTCATTACAGATGGTACCCAATCTTCCCCCATCCTCCCCATCCTCTCAGTCTCATGTAGATAGAGCATTAATCATCACCCTCGCTGAAATCGCAAAGGTCAAGGGAGCCCCTGAGCCCAGCGCGCCCAAAGAAACAAGTACGATGGAGAATAAATGGACAGTCCCACAGATACGTTCTGCTCTTGAAGCACATTGCTCCATGTGATCTCCGGAGACCCGGATGGGAGCAAGACCCATTTCAAATCAGTGTGGAAGGCCTCTCAGGAGCTCACTGTGGAGGGTGTTCTTGGGAGACACTGAGGGAAAGGCAAGTTAGCACGTGATATGAGCATCCAGCCAGGAGCAGAGGGTTCCAGAACTGCTTCTGATCCCACAGGCGTCCTCGGTAGGCAGAGAAGTTTAGTCTGGCCCTGATCTGGTGTTGCTGATCACTGCCGGAGGAGGAGACTCCATTTTGCCCAGCCTTCGCCTGGTTCCGTCTGGTTATGTAAGGTCACCCAGACAGAGAACGTGCTCTGGAGCACACATGGTCCCATCTTAAACACAGTGGACTTGGACTCGGACGCAGAGAGGGAGTTGTAGCCTTGGCGCTGGCCCTAATGACTTGTGCGGCTTGGGGCAATCGCTTTTCTTCTGGGTCTTAGTTTTCCCAACTGAAATAGCTTGGTCATTTTGTTCAATGCACATGTGTGTGTATGTGTGCGAGTGCACATGTGTGCATGCTTGTGTGCATATGTGGTGTGTGTGTTTGTAACCCTCTTATGATGCGTGTGTGTGTGTGTGTGTGTGTGTGTGTGTGTGTGTGTGTGTGTGACCCTAAAAACCCAAAGTTCAGGGATCAGAGATGAAGAAACAGGACTGAGTTGCCTGATCAGGCCCAGAGGGAGATAAATAGGCTCCCCACTAGTTCCCCTCCACTTCCACACCCTCTAACACATACTTTAAAAGCATCTATATGAGAATGGCCGGCTTCATTTTTTCCTCACTAGGCTTTGCAAACACTGATAATTTTGAGAAACCCACCTCCAAGTATATACACAGTGACAAGCTGTATAGATTTACTGCTCGCGACCCATGTCTTGACTATTAATAAAATCCTTTATAATATTTTTGAGATCAAAATAAACACAACTAGAAGGTTAAATATTTTCTTCCCACACCCCAGATTGTCTTACTCAATTCCTGCAGCGCACACACCCTGATTTGGAGAACACTGGCCCTGGGTGTCCCTGGCCATGTTGTTCTAGGTGTCTGGACCTAGAACAGAGAAATGGTATCAGCATTTTCCGGTCCTGATCATTGCTCACAGACGCAGCAGTATGCAGTTTGAGAAAATGAAAATATCAAGGTTACTTCAGGGGAAGAAAAATATTCCATTGTCAACTCAAGGCCATGGCTTACTTCTCAGTGGGTTGGGCACATTCTGCTGGCTCAAGGATCCATCTGGAGCTCCCAAGTGCTCACACTTGTATGGTCTTCCTGGTAAGGTTCTATTACTTTCTAGTCATGAACCAGTAGCCCTGGATCAGGCTATGTTGAGGGCTTTCTTTTCTTTCTTTCTTTTTTTTTCAGAAAAATTTATTATAAACAAACAACTTGTAAACTCTCCTCACCATTTAAGAAGTGCTTTATGATGAGCGGGGATCTTAGGGGTGTATCATAGCCTGTTCTCCTCAAGCCTTGGGTAAGTGACTGTTTTGTTCAAGAAAACAGTCGCTTTCTTTGGGAGGACTGCAGGGCTCAAGGGAGTGGTGGCTGGAACCCAGTCCCCAGTCCCCATCCACTCATAGCTCATTTGAGAGATATGCAAAGCTGTCAGGACGGCCAAAGGTCTGCTTGCCAAGGCAGGCTTCTGTCCAACACACTTCTATATTTATGAGAAACCCGAAATAAAACATGGTGCTCAAAGGCAACAGACACACAGTTAAGCGAGCCCCGAGAACATGCTTAACAAAAGGGGAGAGTGTGGGGACAGGCCATCGGGAGGTTACCCAGGACAGAATGGTTGCTTTGTGGCTCCAGGGGCCCTGATCCTGGCCCAACCAGAAAGCTATATTCAGATGAAGTCTAGGGAAATCTTATTACCTCTGTGTCAGTGTGGCCAAGCGAGAAGAAGACTCTTGTCACCAGCTCAGATCCCTAGGATTGTCATAACAGAGGACCACAAACCACGTGGCTCACATCAACAAGAGAGTTTTTCTCACAGTTCTGGAGGCCTGAAGTCTGAAGTCAATGGTCATCAGGGCATGATTCTCCCACCAAAGGCTGAAGTCAGGGGCTCCTCCTTGTCTCTCCAGGCTTGTGATGGTTACTGACATCCTTGGTGTTCCCCTGGCTTAGAACTACCTCACTTCTGTCCGCCACGAACTTTCCCCCTGTGCATCTGCTTATTTTGTCTAGACTCCCCTTTCTTCCTCTCTCTCTCTCCTTTTTTTTTTGAGGGGGAGGAGTGTCTCATGTAGCTCAGGCTGTCTCAGATTTGCTATGTAGACAAGGATGACCTTGAACTTCTGATTCTCCTTCCTCTACCTCCCAAGTGCTGGAATGACAAGCTATTCCACCAGTAACTCCTGGTGTATATGATGCTGGGCATTGAGCACAGGCTTCTTGTATGGTAGACAAGCACTCTACTTGCTGAGAGATATTCCCAGTCCCTTCAGATTATCTTTTTTTTTTTTTTAAATAAGGGTATCAGTTATGTTGACTTTAGGTCCCAACTAATCCAGTATGACATAATCGTAACTTAGTTATATCTACAACGATCCTGTTTATCAATAAAGTCACTTTCATAAATTCTAAGTGGACATAAATGTTTGGAGGAGGGAGCATATTTAACCCAATGTAGTCCCCAAATATACCTTTCCCCAGGGAAAAGTTGGGGCTAAAGAGAAAAAGTGTGTTTTGCTTTTTAATTTTGAGTAATTTATTATTATTATTATTATTATTATTATTTATTTATTTATTTATTATATGTGTATGCATGCACAAACACACACATGCCTTGGTGCACATATGTAGACCAGAGGACAACTTAATGGAAGTCAGTTCTCTCTTTCTACCCCTTGTCTTAGAGTGGATCAAACTCAGGTTATCAGACTTTGGGGCAGGCACCTTTTACCCATCTTGCTGGCCCTAAGGTTTTGCTTTCTTGAACCCATAATACCACTGCCTTTCTGAGATTTCCAAGGAGCTGAGGCCAATGAGAAGGTAGATAGCCTTAAAGTCTCTCTTTGGTTCCTCCCGTTGGCTGATCACCCAGAAGTCCCCAAATTTAAGGCCCTTCTCTGTAGAACCCAGGTGGAGAGAGAGAGAGAGAGAGAGAGAGAGAGAGAGAGAGAGAGAGCTCAGCACTTTGCAGAGGACTCCAAGGAGGAAGCCGCAACTCATATCCACGGTGGGCAGGAGGAGGCCCAGATTTCCTATGTGATTGATCACATCAAAGCCTGGACTGAGCAGATGCAGTGGAGTGGGTAGGGGACATCTGGTCTGAATTGAGCTTTTGAAGATAAACTTCAAGGCTTTGGACTGGTGGCTCCTCGGCATTGCTTACTTTTTAAAGAGGAATTTGACTTCCTCTGTCTACGCGTTCATAAATCTTCCTTCTCTCTCATCTCTGTGTCCTCTCTTTCCCCTGTTCGTTTTCTCTTTCCTGACGGTCACTTTTCCTAATGTTTCATTTCTAACAATTAGAAAAGTAAATCGCTTCTTTCTATCATCCCTCCTCCCCAATCTGCTGGGCTGCCAGTAGGGAGGAATTCAGCGTCCCTCGTGGGTGCTGACTCACACTCTTCTTCAGTCCCGATGGTTCACACTGGCAGAGAATGGAGACCAGAAAGGGGAGATTTGAAAAGGGTAGAGGGCGTGCAGGGAAAAACACTGAGGAACGTCAGGAAGGGACTGACTCCAGCCAAGACCAACAGCTGAAAATCTGGGGATGAAACTGGGAAGGACCATGGAAAACCCAGCAGGCCGCTTGGGGCTTCATGGAAGAAAAGCGTAATGAATACAATCCAGAACAATCCAGAAATACTGGGAGCAGAGAAATCCATGGCATACGGAGCCCAGGCCAGGGGGACAGAGAGGAGGGAATGGGATGGAGGGGAGAGATGGCCAGATTGTCATGATATGGAGTTAAGTTCTTTGGTTTGAAATCGGCACTGTTAACCTTTATGAACCCTTATAGTATTGAATACCTGAATGTGTCCCACAGAGAAAGTCCTGGAACAGTCCCACAGCCTGGTCTACCAAGCCTGTTCCTCTCAGCACCGTGTCCCTGGGATAGGGGGAAATGATTCATTCCATCTTTTGAGTTTGTCAAAGAGAAATAGTTAGCTCATGGGTCTTCTTGTCTTTGTGTGTGTGTGTGTAACCCTCGGAAAAATGGCAGATTTCCATATGCTGTCCAGAACAGAGTTGGAGCAGTCAATAATGATAAGAGCAAAACTCTGAAAGCCAAGTTCATTGGCTGCAACACTCTTGTCAACACCCCGTTCTCGTTGGTCCCCAGACCCACACTCCCACAGTCCAGTCTCGTTTATTACTCTAAAACGTGGGGCCTCTCTCTCTTTTTCCTCCAGTCACATGAAGTAGAAAGCATTTGGTAGCTGATATCCACCCTCCTGGGGCTTGGCCTTCACTGTGTCTATCTCTAGGTGGTTGACACATAATGGGAACTCACTTTGGATTGCCTGGATAATCTATGTTTTCACCAAATGAGTGGCTGGATCTGTAGTGATTAGAGAGCCTGGCTAGCCAAGGGACAGGTGGTGACAGAGAGCTATGTATGTGAAGCCACTCAAGCTTGGCAATGTGTCATCAGCATTATTCCCGAAGATTCCTTAGAAAGATGAACATTTTTCAGACCAGTTATTTTTAAGTGTTTTGACTAAAGAAATAGCATTTGGCTCCAGTTTTGGAGACAAGCTGGCCCTCTGAGCTTATTGAAGTATGTCCTGTCAGTCTGAGACTGGGATCACGTGGAATCAAACAATAACATGATAGCTAAATCTGATGTTAAAGTTGGTGGGTCTGAGCCAGACTGGAAGACATGCAGAATCCCTCTCTCTACTTTTCAATTTGGAGTACACAGAGTCCCACAGCAGGCAGGCCACGTACTAACGTGGATGTAAGTCGGACACGGGTTCGAGGCTCCCATCTGTCTATGTGAGCTCTCTGTCAAGTACAGAGTGGGAAAGAAGGGGCGAGGATCATCTAAGCACCTGCTACAAAACCAGGGCTGGCTGAGAACTGGGTGCATCCACCTCTGCCCAAGCTTTGCTTTCTCACGGATGAACATGAGTCAGACCTGGTGAGATCGTCTGAAAATCTCCCTATGCTTAGGGTTTTTGACTGTCAGACTGAATTTCTCTTGATCTTGGGTCTCCCCAATGAGGCACTGCTGTCCCCTGCAGACCCTGGTCAGTGGGCATGCCCCCTCCTCAACAGAGAAACCTGCAGGGGGACAACAATGGGTGCCATAGGAGGGAAGGTGAGAGGCAGCTGGGCAAACAGAGCCCTCATTGTTCCGATCCATCAGAGCCACCATCGGCGGGACAGTGCCTCCCCAGTGCATATCTGAGAACACATCGTGCCTCTTGCTCTGTTTACACAGGTGCCTTCTCTCCCTAGGGGAGCCAGGCTCTGCAAACACGTGTGACCACATACTGCCTGCCATAAGATGGATGCTCACATCTGCAGGCTGACTGGGGAAAGAAACTGAGGCCCAGAGCAGAGCGGCAGAGCGGCAGAGGAAGGCTTTCAAGCTGAACAAACCCATCGTGGGAACAGGTGCCGTTCTGTTCCCCACTGGCCTCTGGTTACCAGGCTGCCTTTGTCTTTCTTGTCAGCCTTGCTCTTCAGAGGGATAAAGCCACAGGGCTTTCACTTCAGGCCCTTCCAGCCCTTCTCCCATCCATGGCTGCAGGTGAAAGCCCAAATTCCCTGTCTGCTGGGGAACAAGGATGTGGCTGGCTCCTCCACTCCCTCAGTCCACCTGTTAGTACGGCCTGGCCCTGACGGAGCCCGGAGGGGGAGAGCCCGGGAACCTGGACTGCCTCGTCACAGGCATATAAAGTGTTCCTTGGCCCTGGGAATAGCCAGTCACCTCCATTCATAGAAGCCCCCCCCCCTCCCATCACTCTGGAGAAACAAACTGAGGCGGTCAGAGGGCAAAAACCTGTCTGTGGATGCATTTGTCTGTCTTTCTTTTCTTTCAATTTCTTTGTGTCAAAGCCTCAGCTCAAATGCCCCAGATTCTCCAGTGGATAACATGAAAATGAACCAAAAAAAAAAAAGACACATTGAGATATTCAAAAGCTTGGTATCCAGAAATGCCCACCTTCTGCTAAAACTGCAAAAAGGTGCAAGGAAGTGTGCATGAAGCTAAGAGATCAGTCTCCAGAGAGACTGCCAGGAGGGGAGACTGAGATGGCATCCTCAGAAGGGCCGGCATCAGCGCCCCAGTATCCACTGTATTCCAGTGTGTTTTACGAGCTGTTAAAGTGTGTATTTATTTTGTGTGTTTTCTCAAACTGGGTTTGTTTTAGATTGCTTGTATTTTATTTATATGACAAAAGCACTCAAATAAATGGTCAGTTTCTCAGAGGCTGGACAGCTGGATCTCTTAGGATACAGATCCTCCATGGGCCGCTTCCCTGACGATCAACCATGTCTGGGGTCATCCGCTGTGACTAAACTGCTGGAAAGAAGGACTTACAGGGAGGAGTCGCTGCCGACCATGGTCTCAGAGGGTTCAGTCTAGGGCACCCTGGTTCCAGGGGCTTCAGCAGACCATCATGGTGGCGGAAGTATTTGAAAAGGGTGCTTATTGGCTTCATGACAGAGAGGAACCTGAGAGAGGAACAGGACGGAGCCAGGAACAAGATACCCCCAAGAATCACCCTCAGTGAGCTACGGCCTCCAGCTAAGTTCCACACCTTAAAGTTTCTAAAACCTCACAGAACAGCGCCACCAGAAGGCTGGAAGCCTTTTAGTGACATGGGAACCTCTAGGGGGCACTTCACATCTAAACCACAGCGATAGTATCCAGAGGCATGACCCCAAATCCAAAGGCAAGCGGCATGGAAGAACCAAGGGAAGCATGGCCCGCCTTTCATTGCTTCGAACAGGAAAATTATCTCCGTAGATATTGTTGTGCTTTCTATGGAGAGAATTAAACTTTCAGAACTTTTGAGGGGGAGGGGGGCAGTTATAATTGCTCCAAAAGCCTTACCTGCTTGAGGGAGTTCATGGTATTCCCCACCACAGCACAGGGCACCCCTGTCTCTGTGAGCTCCTAGGGGCTCTCCTTACCTGCGTGTCATTATGCAGAGATGTATCTCTCCTCTGCCTCACAGGGAGCCAACAGGTACTACCTGAGATGTGACTCTAACATGAATTCCAGGAACTACCTCTTCCAAGTAATAATATGCTGGTCCTAGCAAGCTCATTGGAGATACTCAAATATTGTCCCCGGTGTCTCCAAGTGCCTGCGGACCACTGTGTGCGTGGCTGTTTGGAGTCCAACAGCCGGTTGCTAGGCAACACATCTCCAACGAGGGGAGTGTGAAAAAAAATAAATAAACAGACGATGGGGACGGGAGCCAAGGCCTGTTATGACAAGAGCATCTGGGCACAGTTCACGCTAGCTTGATGGGAGTGTCACGGGGATGTGGGAGCTTGCTCAGCTCCCTGATGACTTTTCTTGCCTTTCAGCTCCTCACCCTCTCTGTCTTATGTGGTGAGGAAAGCAGAGATGAAATATGGCTCTCTGGAGGGCTGTGCCTTTGTGAAAGGCTGTTATAGCTGTAACGAAACTTTTGTAATCTGTAACCATATCCCATTACATCTCCAGGCTCCTTGGGTCTCTTCCCAGCCGTAAGGAAAACACAACACACCCTTTTGCTCCCTCTCCTTCGTGCGTTCTTCCTCGCGCCCCTGCTAGTCTCCACTCCTTCAAAGGTCATCACAGTTGTTCTTTTCACACAGATTGTTCCTCTTAGCCTTGGACGGGAATTGGCCCGAGATCTCCAGAAAGGCTGGGTGGTATCTGTGTTAGTACTTAACAAATGGAGGAGGCAGGGACCGAGCACAGGATGAGCTTGCTTCAGTGGTTCAGGGGCTGCTTGATGTCTCTTATGACAGAGAGAGCTAGCCTTTCCTCAGCCTAGATTATCGCCACCATCATTCATTATCTTCTTCCATGTTTCGGGGGACATCAACTGGCTTGGTGGTGAAGGAACGAACTGAAACCTCTCTCAACTGTACTAGTTACTAGGTGCATGTCCTTAGGAAACAGCATTCAATCTTTCTACTTCCTCGTATGCATAATGAGGTTACTGATAACTGTCTTGTAACTTGAGGGTTGTGGGATGGTCCATGTCAAATGCTGTGGTGAGAACACAGAATCTGGCGGGCATCTCACAGTTGCCGATTTGGGCTTGCTCTGGGTGCTTCGGGGAAATGGTGGGCTGCATGGGGATATAGTGTCCATTTTCACCTGTTCAGAGGGATAGAAATGGACTCATATGTGGCTTGAGAAAAAAATGGAGGAGGATTCTGGGTTGAGGAGGAATTCTTCACACAGAAGTTCTGTGAGACGTAAGGACCAGGATAATGGATCTGGGTGTCACTGATTCCCAATGGCCTGCTTCAATGCCTTGAGCTGCAGAGTCCAGGCTTGCTCCTTAAAATTTTAAAGTCTTAGTTGAATCAAATATAAATAAAGAACCATGTTTAACTAACTCATAGGACTGTGATGAGAATTAAATGAAATTTTGTATTGAAAGTCTAATGGAGAGCCTCATGCTGGTTGAATGAAGACTGGAGAGAGACAAGGAATGGTTGCTTTCAATGGATGGTGACGGGATTCTCCTTTATTTTCTCTGGCTTTCATTTCTTTTTCATTCTCTCACTTCCCTCTTTTAACTCCCCCACTTTCCCTCTTCCTTACCTTTCTGAAGTCCAGAATTGTCTTCTTTACTGAAGAACCATCTCCTCAGCTCTCTTTGCCCAAGTTTAACTTCTTCTGTTAGTGGATATCCATAGATCTTAGCCAAAGTGAGCCATCAGAGATACTTAAATCTAGTTTGTCTGAATGTAAGAGACACCATGCGGCTAGGCCAGAAGGAAACTGTTCTCTTCTGCACAGGTTATCTCGGGGCAGGTTTCCATGGATTGTTCTGACTCTGGGTTCATTCAATTCCTTGAGTCCTTCACTAGTTTTTGTGTGTGATGCTCATATGACAATGAGTTGAGTTGGTAGGTGGTAAGACAATGCAGTCACAAAAACAGATACAATGAACTTCTGTAGGCAGAAATTTCTGTCCTGCCAGCATCTCCCAAACACAAAGCAAATGCTTCCCAAATTACCACACAGAAAGTTATCATAATTATAAATGCTCGACCAATAGCTCAGACTTGTTACTAGCTAACTCTTACACTTAAATTAACCCATATTTCTATCTATACTTTGCCATGTGGCGTGGTACCTTTAATAGCATGGCACATTCATCTTCTGCTCCCTCCGTGTCTGGCTGGTGACTCTTCTGACTCCACCCTTCCTCTTCCCAGCATTCTTAGTTTGGTTGCCCTGCCTATACTTCCTGCCTGGCTAAGGGCCAATCAGCATTTTATTAAACCAATTTGACTGACAAATCTTTACAGCGTACAAGAGGATGATTCCGCAGCAAACTTCCCCTCCGGGGGCCACGTGGTGTATTAGAGGAAGAGGAGAAGTAGCCACAGAGCAGCAGCACACAATTCTGCACTGTCAGCCAAGTGTCCTCTGCCAAGCCATATTTGTCTGGCAACTTGATAATACAGGAAGTAACTGAAGAAGAGAGTGAAGTTGGATAGAGTGTCCTCTTATATGTGTCGGAGAGAACATGGGAGAGTGCGGTGCATGGCAACTCAAAAAACCTTTTCTTTTGGATTTGGATAGAAATTTCCCTTTGTACAATCTATATATTTACCTTACTTAGCAGTTTTAATTGCAGTACCAATGAAATAGTTATTTTCCTAAGAATTGAGGGGACTCTAAGGCAGATGGAAACATGGGGCAAAGTGAGGGCTGAGAAAACCCTACCAAAGTCATTTCCCTATTTTTCTTTTTTCAGAAAGTTCTGGATGGATGTGAGACTAGACCACACACTGATGGGACCCCTAGAGAAGATATTAATTTGTTTTCAAACCAAATGATTACCTTTCTGAAAAGTCATCAGGGTCAATAGTCTATATAATACAACAGAGGCATTGACTCCCTCAGCTCAGTGGGGTAAAATCTTCCCTCTTATCACACATCCAAAGTACCCCTCAGACATAACTGTGGGTGTAACCAGGAGAAACTCTTATTCCCCCTCACATTTTCGTGCCTCTCTGATGGCATTTATATCTCCAGTCCCCCTGCTCCCCGCTTCCTCCCCATCTCTTTCTCCCTGGCAAATCTGTTGCTTATTGAGGTGTAGGAAATTTGGGAGCTAGAATATGTGCAGTTGTGAAATATCCCCCACCCACTTTTAACTGATCCTCTGGTGAAAATGAACCCGCTGAGCATCCAAACATAACATACTCCCGGGTGCCTCGGCTCTCCCCACTTCCCATCTGTCTCAGTTCTGAGGGCTTCTCCCTGCCTCATCCTCTGTTTCCACTTCTGTGCTCTTTTATATCATTGCCCACCACCTCCCAGCACTAAGCACTGGCACTTAACCATTCTAGAAATCGGTACCTGTCTTTACCGCATCTTCTTCATAAAAATGCTGCATGCAGCAATGTTTCCAGATCAGACTCCCCTGGCCCTAATGAGCTTCAAAGTTCTTAAGTGCTTCCATTTTGTTTTGGATTCAAGCCAGTCTGGCTTCATAGGAGGAGCCAAGGAGTCAGTCTTTGGAGTCTCTCCTGTACTGACAACTGCTTTCTGAGGAGCGGACTATTTTGTCAGCATAGTGACAAAAATAATAGTGATAATGATAGCAAGAAAGATACGAATACATGAGATTTAACTATGCATCACACACTTCTCCTTCACAGTCACCTTAGGGGCAGATGCTCCCACAGAGAAAGAAACTGAGGCTAATTGGCATTGACTAGGTGGCCTGGGGTTGCTCAGAAGGATGCCGGGTTGGATCCGAGCCTGTGCAGACTTGCTCAGCCCAGCTCCTTCATCAGTACGTAAGAAGTTTCAACAGGCGAAAGTCTACTCATAACTAGGTTAGTGTCAATTGTCAACTTGGCAGAATCTAAGGTCGCCAGCGAGAGGGGTCTCAGGGTAAACCTTGTGGGGGGATATTTTGATGCCGTTACACGAGGTGGGACAGTGTGGCCACTGTGTGCAGCCCTGTTCCCTAACCAGGATCTTGGTTTGTGTGAACAGAACAGGGGCACTAAGCTCCAAGTTTGTATTCACTGTTCCCTTTTCCCGACCGTGGATGTACTGTGCTCCCAGCTCCTGCTTGCTTAACCTCCCTGCCATGGTGGACCTGTAACCTGTGAGCTAAGTAAAACCTCTTTCCCTGGAGCTGATTTTGTCAGGGTGTTATATCATAGCAGCAGGAAAATAAACGAAAACTCCTAGACAGAGAGTGGCCAACCAGGTAACATGACCAAGAGCGGTGACTAGTAAAGTAGGAAAATGCTCAAGTATCATTTGTCACATCTTTAAGTAAAACTTCAGGAGATGCAGGATTCAGTGAGTGAGGCACCATAGCATACCAGCCAGATGACCTAACTGGACAGTTTGGATCATTTTTCTCTCCTGGGTCACTTGGCTTCCACTTGGCCCTGGTATTTCTGACTCTCCACAGCACAACATCACCATCAGCAACACCTCAGACCATGGTTTGTTTGGCTGCCCTCTGGAAGCAAGGGCCTGCACAAGAAGCAAGGAATGTTCCCGCTCCGGCATCTGGGGAGTTAGTGGAGAGAGCCTTTCTCTGGAGCATGTTTGAGCTGCACAGCAAGAAAGGAAGCTTTCATTTGGCTCAGCTAGTTTTTAGACGGGGCAGAGGGGACACGGTCAGAGCCTCAGACCCTGTGTGTGGTCATTTAGTTTTGCTATGTTCCGTGACCACAGCCCTGCTTTAGGTCTCAGCCAGACATCCTGTAATGCATATGGCATGCCGTTACAGTCTCTGTGGGATGGGGAGGAAGGTGTGGATGAATCAGCTCGGCTCCAAGTCCTTGGCCAGAAGATCAGTTCAAAACACGCATCTGGAAGCTGGAGGGAACATGCATGAGGTCAAGTACAAGTATCTAGGATATTGCAGTTTGGAGAGTATTCCTTGAAGGATGTCATCACATCGTCAGGAACTCCTAAAGATGGATGGCTGTCTATCACAAAGAAAGTGAAATAAGGTCCAAGCATATTATAAGCTTAAGCTACGTTGCTGTGGGATGTCTTTCTGTCCGCTGTGAATATGTGTTGCTCTGATTGGTTGATAAATAAAGCTGCATTGGCCTATGGCAGGGCAGGATGGAGCCAGGTGGGAAAATCCAAGAGAGAGAGTGAGAGAAGAAAGGAGAGTAATATGAGATGCCAGCTGCCGCCCAAGGAGCAGC